TGAAAATCTCGAGTTGAAACTTTTATCGTAATCCAAAAAAAAAAAATCTTCAAGAAGTAATAATCTAAACTAACAACATACTTAAGAATAATTAAAAGTTTGGTGGAAGGCATTACTTTTCAATGACAATCCAATCAAAAAATTAAATAGAGTATACCTGTTGATTAATTGGTGCCATTGATGCAATACCAGCCGATTCTATGCATCAACAAAAATAATTTGTTCTACCATTTATCTTCTTCTTCTTGTCTTCTTACTATACATGATTTTCTGAAATGTTTTGTTCATCATTTCATCAAAATTATTGATACCATATAAAGTTTGTTGGTAATTTCTTTTCCTTTTTCTTAAGTTTTCTTTTCTTTTTTTTTCCGAAGTTGCAAAATGAAACCATGCTTTTTCCCTAGAAAATTTGTGCCAACCTTTTCTTAATGAAGATGAATAAATACAATATATGATTCGAATTTTAACAAATAACTTGTAGTAGTAAAGGTACGATTGGGATTAATTCAATCGAATTTTATTAGCTTTTATGCCAGTGTTCCTTCTTTTACACCAAACAAGAAGAAAGACACTTTTTTTTTTTTTAATTGTTTCATGAGAAGTGAATCATGAACCATCAAACCTTATACCAAACAAAAGTTTAATTTATTGTTTAATTCTTTTAGTTTGCTAAATCTTTGAATTTAATGTCAAAAAGGCATGCGCATAGGCTCATAATATGATTAACAAAAAAAACAAGGTTTTGTCTTATTTGAGAAAATATATTTTGTTTTTATTTTTATTTTTATTTTCTAAAAAACCATGTTTGTTTTTTGTTTATGTTTTTTAAAAAATGTATTTGGTGAAAAAAATAAAAAACATTTTTAAAAAATACAAAATAAGAAAAATAAACAATTATGAAAATAATTATTATTAATAATCTCTAAGTATAAATATATAATATATATTTACTAATTAATACTTTCAAAAGTATTCAAATATGGGACCAACTTCTTAATTTGCAAAATATAAATAAAAAAATAATGATCATTCCTTATTTTCATAATTAAAAACATATTTTTTTTATTTTCTATTTAAGCTCATTTTCATTTTTATTTTCTAAAAAATTATTTTCATTTTTTATTATCAAAGACGATTTCAATCTTATTTTTTATTTTCTTAAAAAATGAAAAAAAAATTCTCTATTTTTTAAAACCAAACATTACCTAAAAATTTTGGAGTTTCTTTCTTACCAATTGCATTGGATTTAAGCCTAAGCTTTTTCAAAAAAAAGGATAAGGTTTAAGGAAAATTAAAATTGAAAAATGTATAGATATTGAAAATTGAACTATAATCTTACAAGAAATCACACCGTAAAAGAGAAATGACTAAGGTTTCATTTTAATAAACAGTAAAATTAAAAATAATAATAAAAATTATCATAATAAAAAATTATTATAATTACAATTAAAATTAATATTTAAATTCAATTAATAATATATTAAACTTAATCACACCACACTAAAACAACAATAGAATCAAAACCTAATCTTACACTCTTTTGGGTTCAGTTGCACCCTCATTTCGGTGCGGTCAGATCACATTTTGGATTCAATCACTCCATTAATTGTATTTAGATAACACCTGGCATGGTGGAGTCATTCTCTCCGTGTTAGACCTCTGATTTTCTATCGCACTCTTAAGTCCAGTGAATTCCACCCCCCCCCCCCCCCCATCACACCCTTTTAGTTTTGCTCGTCTTTTTTTTTTTTTTCATTTTTGTTTTTGAGGTTATAGTGATTGGATAAAAATATCCTTTCCATTTTTATTTTTTATTTAAAAATTTTGAAATAACTTTGTTAAAGTAAATGATACATAAATTTGATTATTATTTAATAAATTAATAAATAATATCCATTAATATTTTAATTAAAAACAAATTTTAAGACTTTAAATATTATAACTGAATTATTTATAAATAATTTTTAAATACATTTTTAAAGTAATATCCATGATATTTTTTATTTTTATGTTATTTTTATTATTATTTTATTATCTAAACACATAATTTATTATTAATTTCGTTACGACATATAAGCTCACCGTCCGTAAAAACGAAAGTCAAGTCTCTTTCATTTTTCGGTTGGTGAAATCTCAACTCTTTATTTAACTAGGAAAATTTATCAATAAAAAATAAACTCATTTTAACTATGGGCTCAAGATATAATGAGCCCAAATTAATAAGCATGGCCAGACGGACCTACTCAAAAACTTTTCGAATAATCTTAATTTTTCGAATCACCTACGCTGACTAAGGCCTGATTTCAGTCCAGGTTCCGGATCAATCCTTTAACATGGATGAATCTCAGCGATCTATAATTGAAAATCAATGTATTCTTTGCAAAGACTCGGACGAAATGTACTTTAGTAGATAATTTTTCTTTAATAAAAGACTTGGAGAAAGAGAAATATATTGTAAGTATTAATATTTAAAAATTAATTTATTAAATATTATTTTTTAAAAATAATTATATAAATTAATTAAATTAAAATTTTCGTTCATATTTTAATTCTCTTATATATATATAAAATAAAAATTTAAAAATAAATAAAAAAATCAAATTTCAGATTTTTAAAATATTATTTTTAAAAATAACTGTATAAATTAATTAAACTTCATATTCAATATCTCTTGCTCTAGAGCTAAAGCAAGAAATCAATCCTAATTACTTACTTTACTTGGCCACTCTTCATCAGCCTGTAACTTCACAAACTCTGCCAGGAGCTTGATTTCATCTTCCTTCAAACGTTGCCCAAACTAGATCTGTTTCTAATCACAAAGGACAATGAGTCACTTTTCCAGGTTCCGCATTATTTTTTTTTCCTTATAATTTTAGTAATAAATATCTCATAATTTTCTCTTATCTTTTCATCAGATCTAGTAGTAGATGGAGGTGGATGATAAAGTACGCCTTATGGCCCACCTTTGTCAAAGTTGCTTATAAGCATCAAATTTTGACTCAATAAAAAAAATTGAAGTATTACAGAAATGAACAAATGAAAATTTGTTTTTAATAACAAATGAGGTGCACTCCTCGTGTAAGGAATTAATAATAATTCATTTCAAAAAATTATCTAACATACTAATAACAAAATTTTTAGATTAATTAATAGGATGACACATATTTTTTTAAATATATTAAAAATAAAATATCTATCATTTTTTAATTTAAATTAAAAATTTATTGATAATGTATTAAATAATTTTTTTATTTTTAACAAATTCTATAGGTAGATTGAATTTTTATTTTTAGTAAGGATGAAGACTTTTTTAAGAAGACTTTATATCTTTATCCATCATATTGTCACTATGAGACATTTTTTTTTTAATTTAAGTTTTTAGAATTTTTAAAATGCTTTTCCTTCTATATGAGAATGTGATAAATTCTATCGGTTTGTCATTACATTTCATATCATGTCATACCATAAAAATGAAAAAAAAAATAGAGAAAAAAAGAGTGATTTTATTTACACCACAAAAAGTATTTTATACTACTCAATATGTTTTTTTAAAAAATACTCAAATATAAAATAACTTTATATATCTTTTATTAAATTACATTTTTAACCTTTTTACACCCCTTTTATGCTTCCCTTCTTCTATTATTCTTCTTTTGTTCCTTCTTTTATTTTTTTCTTTTTTCTTCTTCCTCCTTCTTGATATTAAAAACCTTAAATATTTGAAACAAACTATAAATCTTGTAAAAATGAATAGCCAAATGGAAAACAAAACTGAAGGGGATGAAAGGTGGTTCCACGAATTAATTTGTTTAAAGCTCTTTTTAAATTGGAAATTTGATGCTTATTGAGGTTAGCTCAGTATGGAGGCTTTGAAAGTCTTTCTGTAAGTTTTAAAAGGCTTACGAGAATTGATACCTATAAACACCTAAAAGATATAAATATTCAAAATCATTTAAAAAGTGACTGAAATTCATTTTCATAATAAACGAATTCGATGAAAAAATTATCAATCTTAAAAAATAAGCCAAAGTACTAATAAATTTCTCGAGAAAAAAATTATTCGGCTGAAAATGTCCTTTAGTTTTTGTCTTGTTGCGGATAATGAGGAAAAGTCTCACCAATAATAATACGTAATCGTATTTTGTAAGTCGCTGCTACTTGTCCAGAAATCCAGTTCCTTCAGCCGTAGGCAATAGAGGAAGGGGCCAATTATATGCGTTCCATACTACATGTGCTAAATTACGACTCAACTGTCAGCCCTGGATCCCAATCCATTGGCCACTCAGTGTCTTGACGTCAACTGTGATTTAAATAGTCCGGCCAAAAGAGGAACGGTGCAACCTGCAAGCAATTTCGGGTCCCACTCTATTAGATTGCATCCTATCTATCCTTTGTAGTAATCCTTTTAAACCAATATGGTTTTTTTTTTCAGCCAAATCAATAAAATTTGATAATTGAAAAAATATATATATATTTTGTGGAGAATGATGCGCAGATTTTTTTTTTTAATAAATAAGATTACAGTTTATGGATAAATAAAATATTATAAAATTTAAATTTAAATTTATTGTTTGTCAAAAATTGTATGATTAATTGAATGCAATTTTATGTAAAGTAAAATTGAATAAAATATTTAATTTACCTTAAACTTTAAATTTTATTTTGAAAAGAATAGAGATGAAATTAAAAATTTAAACTTCATTTTGAAAAATTATTTAGATTTTGTTTGATAAGTATTTTTTATTATCTATTATTTATTTTATCTTTTTCGTTATTAAAAATAAAAAATATGAACAAAAGGAATAACAACTAGGTTAAATTGTTTTAGTGATTTCCTTTTTCTTCTGCTTCAATAAAAAATAGGATTGCGAAATTAGGAGTCATGGACTATGATAACTACAATACGCGCTTCCGCGTATTACCGTTTCTCAAATAATAGGATTAAAAATTAAAAAGGTTCCTAAATAAACCAAAACAATTCGTATATTTTGACCACTTTCTCAAACAAAATTAATAATTTGTTTTTTTTTCTTTTTATGATAATTACATCTCATATTTTCTTCTTTTATCTTCTTTCTTTAGCCATCTGTAAGCAAATCGGTTACTTGTCTCCGCTGGCTCCTCTGTAACTCCAGGTGATAGACTCTTCTCTCTCCCCAAATTCCCAAACCCTAAAACATAAAAAAAAGTCAAAATTCCCATCCTAATTTCACAGTTAAAATAGATTTCATCAATTTTCTGGGAAATAATAAGTTTTGATTGGGTATGGCGATGTTATTGGAAGACATTGTACAATCGGTGGAGATGTGGTTGAAGCTGATAAGGAAACCGCAACCCTACGTTGACCCTGATCTCGATCCGGTTTTATTGGTTCCGGGTATCGCCGGGTCGATTTTGAAAGCTGTGGATCATCAGAATGGGAAAGAAGAAAGGGTTTGGGTTCGGATTCTCGGTGCCGATTATAAGTGTCGTACTAAGCTCTGGTCTCGCTTTGATCCTTCTACCGGTAATGCTTTCTTTTTTCGTTTTTTAATCTCAAAAGAAATTTAGTGGAATTGTTCAAGGTATCTTTTTTTTTCTTTTTGTGGAGTATTTTGGAGAACTTATATTCATTAATCATTGCAATCAACTAATGCATATAGGGAACTGTGAGCTAATATTTGGTAGAAGTTGTTGAAAGAATTGTTTCAATTGAATTTGGTGTAATTTTTTTTTAATGATAGTAAATTTTGTCCTTTTTTTCCCCTTGTTTTGAAATAATCCGGGGGTAATTATGTTAGTCGTGGTTCATTGGTTGCGAAACAGGTAGAACTGTGTCCTTAGATCCTTGCACAAGTGTTAGAGTTCCTGAAGAAAGATATGGACTTTACGCCATCGATGTCTTGGACCCTGACATGGTATATTTTTGTATTTCTTACTATCATTTAATACTTGATCAAGGAATTTTTTTTTATATTACCTTAAAAAACCTGATATTGCTACCTTAACTAAAAGTTAAACTTTATTTTATGAAGTGTTTTGTCATTGAAAATGAAACTTATGGACCCATAACTAAATCTTTCCTTAAGTGTGTATGGAGCCTAAAGGTATGAACTAATGATGGGTTTCAATGAACTCTTTGTTTTCACGCAGATCATTGGACGTGAGTGTGTTTATTATTTCCATGATATGATTGTTGAAATGATGAAGTGGGGTTTTCAAGAAGGGAAAACCCTTTTTGGTTTTGGTTATGATTTTCGCCAAAGTAACAGGTACAATCATATCTTTATTGAGTAATTTGTTAACTATTTCTCTTTCTACTAGGGTGGCGGCCTGTATTTGTCCTTGTGATTAATAGATTTGTTTTAATTGTGTTGATTCTTTTTTTTTCTTTTAGGTTGCAAGAAACAATGGATCGCCTGGCAGCAAAATTAGAGTCTGTGTACAAAGCATCAGGAGGGAAAAAGATAAATATCATAAGTCATTCTATGGGGGGTCTTCTGATAAAATGTTTCATGGGCCTTCACAGTGATGTAAGGAATCCACTCTCATTTTCTTCTATCCCCTTGTTTTTCTGCATTTACCTTGCTCTCTATTCTCTTCCTTTCCCATATCTACTTCTAGTTTAGTATTGTATCTCTTTGTGATAAAGTGTTGCTTTTCTTGTGCAGATTTTCAAGAAATATGTTAAGAATTGGATTGCAATTGCTGCACCATTCCTGGGTAAGTGGTCTTTATAACACGAGTAGAGTGCAAGACATTTAATAGTTTTCAAATCGTCAATTGCCTCAAATTCAATTTTAAATATCACATAAGATTGATTAGTTTCTTTTTTTTTTTGTTTAACTATATGACGTTGAATTTGTCCAGTGCATTTCTTGAGCTACTAGAAATCTGAAACTAAAGTTGTCAAAATATTGGATTTATAGGAGAAATTACTGTATGACTAATGGATCATATCCTAGGATGAGTTTTTTTCTTTCTATTTTCTTTTTTAACTAAAGTTATAAATTATACATTTGTACATCCACCCACCTCAGGTATTCTAAAATGAGAATTATCTTTTATATGTTTCATTTGAAGCTATCTTAAGATTACTCATGGAAAGTCTAGGACGATGCAGTTTCATTAAACAATGGCATACAGTTATGTGTTCTATGGTAGTCTTTTATAAGCGGAATTTGAAATATATAAGTTTCTGTGATTAATAATTCACTGGAATTGTCAATTGAATCTTACTTCAAAAGAACTTCATATGCTCAAGATCTGGTTCATTTTCCTTCACTAAAGGATGATAGTTCAGGCAAAAAAAAAAAAAAAAAGGATCTAGCAGCTGGACAGCTGGATTTAATTTTAATTTGAGTTGCTTATTGACATGCAATATTAATGTTTCCAACAGGTGCACCCGGATATATTGCTTCTACCTTTCTAAATGGAATGTCATTTGTTGATGGGTGGGAACAGAACTTTTTCATTTCAAAGTGGAGCATGCATCAATTGGTTTGTGATTATGTTCTAATTACTTTTTTCATTTTCAACATTTCTACTTAGATACCCATGAGGGCATGAACTCTCTATTAGTATGTCCATTTTTCATGAATGTTTTTCAAAAGTTTATTTCTGGTTAGATTTTTTTTTATTGTCTGTTAAAATGTCTCAGTCTCACCTAATTCTGCCCCCCTAATTCCTTGCTCTGTATTTTATATGCTTATTTATTTTTCTTTAGACTCAGGTGGCTGAAATCTGCTGCTAGCAGTTACATTGGGGCTTATGACTGAAGCTTCTAGACTTGAATCTAACTATCTAAGAGTAGTCAATTTTAGGCCAAGACTTTATATTGGTAGCCTCAACGATGATGAAGGTGCTTTCTTTCCAGTTCATACATGAGCAACCTCTAATGAATTTTAATTTGTAGTTGAGTGTTGTAAGTCAAACGGTGCCAACTAATCCTACTCCACACATAATTAGATGGAAGATTATATTTGTGTTATGTTGCACTCAGTCAGTACTTGGTGCAACATGCTAGCATGTTGAAATGTTTATGTAGATTTTGTTCTGCCTAAGTTTTTTCTTTGTTATTTTTGAGGTCGTTCAGATTATTTATTTCTTGCTGCATTATTCAGCTGATTGAGTGCCCATCAATATATGAGTTAATGGCTTGTCCACATTTCCATTGGCAACATATGCCACTTCTTGAGATCTGGAGGGAGAAAGAAGGTTGTGATGGAATTCCTCGGATTATTCTAGAGTCCTATCGCCCAGGAGAAAGCATTGATATTTTTAATGAAGCTCTTTCAGGCAACTCGGTAAGCTATGACTTTGCTTGTGCAAGAAGGAAGTACCTTAAATAAATAAAGGAAAAACTTCAGTGATAAGTACCTTCAGATTACATAAGGAGTTTGTCTTTAATTGAGGGTTCTAATCAATTTCAGGAGTAGCTTTGTACATGGTTTAAGACATTGGTTAAATGGTTCATGTGGAGTCAAATTGTTTGCATTTTGTAATTTCAGGTTGACCATGATGGGGAGAATATTCCACTACCTTTCAATTTGGAGATCTTGAAATGGGCTAAAGAGACTCACAGGGTGTTGGCTCATGCTAAGGTTCCTTCTGGAGTTAAATTCTACAATATATATGGGATCAATCTTGAGACACCACACAGTGTTTGGTAATGCCTCTATTTTATTGTTTTGTTGAAAGTGACCCATGATTATTTTCATTTCACTAATAAACTTTATACTACAAGTAATTGTTTCCTGGTATTTTTTTTTATACATCCTTTTATTTTTTATTTTTAATCTTCACAATTTGGCAGCTATGGAAGTGAGGAGACACCTGTCACAGATATACAAGACTTACCGTTTTTTCAGGTGAATTTTTTTGTTGAAGGCTGGTCCCATAGTCATGCTGTAGTTATGGAGGCCACTTCCTGATAACTTTAATTTTCTCTTTTATTTTATTTTTTTTGTGGTTATAAATAATTTTTTTTTACTGGTATGTATCTTTTGTAAGCACGGATTTGGTTACTGATGCTGACTTTCTTCTGCATATCAGCCCACGTATATATGTGTTGATGGTGATGGAACAGTTCCAGCAGAATCAGCTAAGGTTAGCTGACTCCCCTTCTTATATCTTTCTATGATTTTGTTATTTACCAGATTAATTGAACCATGGATAATACTTTTAAAATCCCATTAACAATTGTACTTCTCATAACTTATGGAAAATGCTCTATCTTCTTTTAAAACTATTAAATTATTCTTGTGATTTATATATAAAGTGAATCCATGTACTGCATGTGGCTATGTGAGTCACCAAGAATGTTCTGGTGACCAGAGGCTTTGGGTTTCAAATAACCTCACCCTTCAAAAAGGAAGTTCATTATTAATATATCAGAAATTCAGAATAATTCTTTTGGGTGATAAATACTAATTCTGAGGTAGATTATCAAGCCATCATTAATAGATTTTTTGCATTTCCTACTTGTTTTGTTTTTGTCATATTGGTATTACTGCAGGTCCAATTATTCTTTATGAAATGCAATATGGTTGTGTATTATGCCAATGGTATTAAATATGAACTGGCAGTATCTCTGACTTGTTTTCATTCTTGCTATTTTCAGGCAGATGGACTTCATGCAGAAGCAAGGGTTGGAGTCCCTGGTGAGCACCGGGGAATTCTTTGTGAACCTCATGTATTTCGAATTCTCAAGCACTGGTTGAAGGCAGGCGATCCAGATCCTTTCTACAACCCAATAAACGACTATGTGATTTTACCAACAGCATTCGAATGGGAAAGTCACCATGAGAAAGGCTTACAAGTTACGTCACTCAAAGAGGAATGGGAAATTGTTTCTGAAGATCAAGACAATCTTGAAGATGTGGCTAGTAGAAAGCCATTTGTTAGCTCGATATCTGTTTCACAAGGGGGAAATAAACAATCCTCAAGGTCTGAGGCTCATGCAACTGTTACTGTTCATCCGCAAACTGAGGGTAAGCAACACGTTGAGCTCAATGCCATAAGCGTGTCTGTTGATGCTTAGAATTGAATTGTTGAACTCAATGAAAGCAAGTACAAACCCTCTTCTGTGTAACTGTCGTATATTTAAGAGCTCATGACTTTGAACTTGAGCCCATGGTTTTATTCAAATGGTGTAAGATGTATAAATGCAGTTGTACATAGCTATTATCATAATAATGAACTGCTATGAATTGTTCAACTTTGGTATAAGAGCAACGGTGGTAGAAATAATTTTGCCACGGCCACACTGTGCTTCTGATTTCTCAAGTGAAGGGCAAGAACGTGGAATAGTCACATAGCGAAGCTTTGGTGTCTTGAACAACTAAAATCAAATATGCTGTCGATTTATGTGACTGAAGTGAAGTTTGAGCTAGTCTGTTAGCCTTGCAAGTCTGCCTTGCGCTACGCTTCGAATTTCGTTGATGGAATTTCAAATAACTGGAGGTTGTATTATTGTGAGGTGAGAGCAGGAATTACATTACATAAGATGCTAACAAGTCTAATTCTACGTTTATACTAGTACTTGAACTGATGAAATTAATATTTCTATTAATAAAACAAAGAAAATCAAGAAGAAAGAAAGATGACAGCCTGAGAGAGTACTCAAAAACACAGATCTAGGAGGCAGCAGCAACACAAGCCAGCACAACTGTATGACAAACAAAACTTTCATTAATCAAACATATTAAGCCAACTAAGATATATGTGCTAAGTATCAGTTAAATATCAGTTACGTGATAAGTATCAAGCAGTTAAATATCATTTACGTGATTTGTTAATAGAATTTTGAACTTTTAAAAAAATGCTTAGTGCAAATGAAAGATGCAACAAGGAAATATAAGCTAGTTTTTCTTTTCTTTTCTCTTTCCCAACGTTTTGAAGTAACTTTTTCTTCCCTCCACTTTTCTCGTATCCTAACCAAGCAAAAATAACACATGTAAGAGAGTAAACAAAATGCTTTACCATCCTTTCCAGAACCCGTCACCCCTCTGCTTAGTTTCTGGTAGGTGTTGGGGTGCTTCAACTCCATTTTTCATGGGGTAAGCAACTGGCGGTGGAGCAATGTATGGACCTTGGACTGGAGGAGGAGGAGGATAGGATTGATGCAGAGGAGGAGGATAAACTTGCCCTGGCTCCGCCAGAGGATATGAAGTAGGAGGTGGACGATATACCACTACAAGATCACAGGAATCCGTCAGTTAACTAAAACTTCCTTCACTCTATAAACATGCATGTTAGTTTTACACCAAAGTTACTAATTACCAGACATAGAGAAAGAGTTTGTAATTTTCATTATACCTGGAGCTTGTTGATGATTGTAGTAACTCATGATCAGATCTTACAAAAGTGAAATCCCGAGAGAAATGCCAAAAACTAATTAAACTATAATTAACAGACTATTGTCAATTATCCAACAAGAATTGAATTCAGGTTATTTATATACCAGGCTTTGGCATGGCCCTTGTATCTGTTGCTTTTAAAGGATATATATATATATATATATATATATATATATATATATATACAGATTTCATAATAGGCGGCTGGTGAATCTTGCTTGTTAGCCTGTTGGGTCGAGGCATGTGGCATGTTGGCTTCCTTCTCCTTTGGATTTGTCACAGTCAAAGAAAGAAAGTTAAAGATTGATTTCCAAGTCTTGAATTTGAGGGAACCAATGAAAATGGATAGAAGTAGCAATGGGTTAATGCTATTGCTGCTTCTAGATGTTAATCAATATACACGCTATATTAGGAAGAAGAGTTCAGTTTCGAAGACTTTCTACCCTCTCTAAAAATATTCAAATTCAACACAAGAAAATGAAACCAATGACTAATTACCATGAATTGATATATACTTAATATTTTTATTTTGGCATTTAAAATTTTTAATATTTGAATTTTAATTACTAAAATTAAAATTTCAACGTTCTATTAGACAATGTTTGTTATTATATATTCAATATAATATCAATGTTTTTCCTTGTTGATAAAAATATAAAATATATCATAAAATTAATTTATGAAAAATAAAAATAATAAATATACATTGTAAATATTTTCCTTTTGAAAAGATTGTAGAGCTATTGTTAGAATGCGAAATAGGTGTGAAAATTTTCGATAACTTTCTTTTTCAGTAGCACTTTGAATAGATTTTAAAACATCTATTCCTCTATTTGCTTTGTTCATATTTGTATTTGCCTTATTATATGAATTGTTATCAAAATATTATTTCATGTAACCAAAAAAATAATAACGATAAAGTTGTTTTATGTTTTGTTTTGTTTTATTTTAATTTTTAGTCAATTACTTAAAATTTTTTATTTTAGAACACAAATTATTTATTTATTTTTTTTAAACAATACTAAAAAAACATGAAATGTAAGTATCATCATCTGATGCCAGTGGCGCAGACGTAGTAATCGCAAACCACCCACAAAGACAACCTCAAAAAATTAACACTTCGGTAAAGCAAAGAATTTTGGATTCTCGGTTGCCATCGAAAAAAAAAAAAAGAAATGGGGAGGTCTTTAGTTTTCTCTACCAACATTTCTCTCAGGTTTTCTCAAACACCCAGATCTATTTCACCTCGGATTCACCTAAATCAGTCTCACAAATTTACTGCAAATTCTCCATTTGGGTATCAAAAAGTTGGAATTTTGAACTCAAATTGCACAAGAAAACTATGCACAAGAGCCTTGATGTCAGAGGTTTCTAACCAGAGACAATTTCCTAAAGTAGGTGCCAAATCAACTGGACCAATCCCTCCAACTCAGCTCATTGAAGTTGTTGAGACGGCTGCAAAAACTGGCTCTGAGGTTTGCTTTTCTTTTATTTCTTTACCTTTTTATTTTACTTTTCAATATTCTTTTTTTTTTGCAGGTGGTGATGGAAGCTGTCAACAAACCAAGAAATATCACATATAAAGGACTAACTGACTTGGTAACCGAGTAAGGACTTTTCAAAGTTCTAGTACTGATTCAGATTTTGTCTTCATGCTTCAAGGTCCTCACCCTGTGAATTAATTTCTTACCTATGCCCCTTACTAGTAAAGGGGGTGAAGTAGGACCATTGACAACAATGTGATCAGATAATTACAAATTGATTTACTCGATCTGTATTTTCATTGTGCTTGGTTGTAATAATCTTCTTTCTCAATGTTATGATGTAATTGTCATACTGCGAACTATGAAGTCAAAATGTTGGCACTGAAGTTTGCTTTCATATGAAGAAGACAAATGCAAATGCTTAAAACATTGAAAATAAGACAAATTGAATTATTTATAGCTGGAAAAAGGATTTTAGTATGCCTTTGTAATTCATATTCTTGCAAGAAAAAGAAATCCATGGAATGATCACTGAAAGAAGTTCTCCTGCCCACAAATTTGCCTTTCTTTTTTCACAATGTACTTATACTTAAAAGAGTATGGCATAATTTACCCGAACCCTTTGTCTCCATCACCCTATGATCCAATCTCTAACCACAAACAGCATGGGCATCTTAAATTTAAGAGTTTGCCTTACCACTCTATTGCAGTTGCTACTTGCTAGTATAAGCCCGAAAAGGAACAATCACATCTAAGTGTTTTCTACCTTGTTTTTCATTTATTAATTACATCTTATTGACTATTTTATTAATTTACCATGATGGGTATAGATTTAATATCTGTTTGGCATGTTGGAATCATATAAGTTTGCCATGGACTTATTATCTTCCTTGTTTTGTTCATAATTGATCAGCTCTGACGAGGAGCCATGACTCACAATTCTTGTATGATTTATCTGCAGCACAGATAAAATGAGTGAGGCTGCTATTCTTGAAGTAGTAAAAAGGAATTTTGGAGATCACCTGATCCTTGGGGAGGAGGGAGGAATTATAGGAGATAACTCATCAGATTATCTATGGTGTATTGATCCTTTAGGTTTGTCTCTTTCAGCCCCTGATTTCTTTAGGCAAGACAGTTTATATGTTTATTTTCGATAAGGTACTAAAGAAATATTTCCAGAAACTTGGAGGGTATCCTTTTCAGTCTATATGCGTATCGCACTCTTGCCTGCAGAAATACTTTAGCGTATCATGGTTCATATAATCATATTGATGATTAATTTCCCTGCTTGTTTGTATCAATACTTTACGAAAGTGTTAGAAAAAGTATTCTGTTGATTTGACCTTTGTGACCTGCTGTAGATGGAACAACAAATTTTGCACACTGTTATCCTAGCTTTGCAGTTTCAGTGGGTGTTCTGTTTCGAGGAAATCCTGTTGCTGCTGCTGTGGTATTAATTTCTTACTTGAATCTTGTCAATGTTATATTTACATAATTTGACATCCAAAATGTGGTCTCTGGTAGAATGTTGAGTTTAAACATTACGTAATCAGTTTCTTGCTTTATTTGTTTGTAGAAGGAACCTTGACATTGTTACTTTTTTTACCTGTAGGTGGAATTTGTTGGGGGGCCTATGTGTTGGAATACCCGTACATTTACTGCTACTGCTGGTAGGTAACATGGTACTAGTTAAAACTCCTTAATCTTCATGCCTAGGTTAATAGTATATTTATGGCTAAATAATTGAGACTTTGGGTTCTAGGTGGGGGAGCATTTTGTGACGGTCAGAAAGTCCATCCAAGTCAAACTGATAGGGTGAGTATTCACACTGAATCGAAAAGTTAAATGTATCTTGAATTATTTAATACGAGTAGATGGTACCATTATCAGCTGAAAAGTTGTTGCTTTATACTGCAATATGCATTTATCCTGTCTGATGATGCATTGTATGCATTCTGGTGTGACAAACAATATCGGGGCTCGATGATTATGTACCCCTTAATATTTTCTTTGGACACATTTGATGGTTCATGCTTCAGTAAACTTGTTGAAGCAAAAGCCTTAGATACCTTCCAAGAAGATTAAACTGATTATCCTATAACTTCCATTGTTTTTTGAAAAATATATCTTTTAATAGGTAGGTTTTCACTGTCAATGTGCTTATGATTTTTAAAGGCTAAATGTTTTGACATCTTGCAACAAAAACTTGTTTGCAGGTGGAGCAATCTCTTCTTGTGACTGGGTTCGGATATGAACATGATGATGCATGGATTACCAACATGGAATTATTCAAGGAATTTACTGACATCAGTAGAGTATGAACCTTAAATGACTTTTCTGTGCTAATAAGCTCCTTCTCCAAAAATATCAAGGCTCATGCTTGGCCCCTTTTCTCTCTAACTTTTCCTGAATTACAATGACTAGGGTGTGAGAAGGCTTGGTGCTGCAGCTGTCGACATGTGCCATGTAGCTCTAGGAGTAGCAGAAGCATATTGGGAATATCGTCTAAAACCATGGGATATGGCTGCTGGTGTATTGGTAAAGTATTTTAACTTAAAATTTGTTGTTAAATTGTGGACTTAATGTAGTAAATAAAACTAATAGTTTTCCAGTTTTCTTTCTTATACTTAAAGGGATGTCAGTTGTCAGATTCTGATGCTGGTGAACTTGCATTCAACATGACAATTGACAACTTTATTTTGCTTACCGTGGAACATAATAAGTGCACCTAGCCCAAAAAAAAAAGCTTTGAAAATACGTTCAAATTGCTTCAATCTTATTAAGTTGCCGGACTTTTTGTATCCTTTCATTGAATTTTATGCTGATGTGAACATTATGGTGATATTTAAGATGAATAGGATGTTGAATGAGAGTTGTTCAGATTTCTTTTCAGTTGTTTATATAAATTATTCTTCATAATCAGATAGTTGAAGAAGCTGGTGGTGCAGTGACTCGCATGGATGGTGGAAAATTTTGTGTCTTTGATAGATCTGTTTTGGTATCTAATGGTGCACTTCATGCTAAGGTTAGATCTTTTTACATTTTTCTAAAGATCAATTCTGAGACATTGTAGAAAGGAAGATAAGCCCCAAAATCTTATTGTGCATTGGTTGTAACAAAATGGTATGATATTTGAATTACTATGAAAAGCAGCTATTGGAGACGATTGCACCTGCAACAGAGAAACTGAAGAATAAAGGAATTGATTTCTCGTTATGGTATAAGCCAGAAAATTACATCACAGATCTTTGAAATGCCAGAGAGTTATACTTCTGTTTCCTGACATGGCAAGAAGGTTCTCTCAGCAAGCAGGTCTTTCTCTCATAGCTTGAATTTTTACAATTTTCCTTTAGATGAACTTTCTTCACTTGTGGCTAATGATAGTCTAGTTCATTTATCATTATTTTTGAGAAAGTGTATATGGATATAATACACAAAATACCTTTTAGTTGTTTTTTTTTTTTTTGTTGCAAAAATTCTTTTCTTTAAAACAGTATGATCCATGTAGCACATTCCTATTGTAATTTCATATTCTTACCATTGTTTTCCAATTTCTTAAAACAGAAAACAATGGTTTAGATTACTAGATGGTTTACCACTGTTTTCACTTTCCTCTTTCACTTTCTTTCATGCATGCATGTGCTGCACTTAAATTAAATTGGGCCTTTCTACTTGAATTTGCTCTTGTTTCTGTAAGATTTAGGATCTCTCTCAAACATGCATGAAATGATTTTTTTGGTGTTTAATTTGAGAAAGCATTACGTTTATACTTCCGTAACTTTATCAACATTTAGCATCTGTGGAATATAGCACTTTCTGCCTCTTACTAGCCAGCACCATTTCTAGTTCTGCATTTCCCTCCGTAAGATTTCTTCTCAGCCCAATCTGCCAATCCCTCACAATTACTTAACCATAACCATTTTCTATTTTCATGCTCCATTAAGTGATAATGAAACTCTCCCAGGTCTTCAAAATTGTACTCCTCTTGGCCCATGTTTAGACCAAGATCCTTGCATTTCCAATTGTCAATTGTACTTATGTTGGAAATCAAGACCCTCCCGTTTCCAATATGCTCTGAAAGTTGAATATGTGATGAAGCATATTTATGGGACTAAAGATCAACAACATCATTATCTTATTAAGATATTTTTAAAATCGAGGAATGACAATGAACAAAGCTTTGATAAATATGCTCTTGGTGCCTTGTTGCAGAGCCATATAGTTTTGGTAGCACCACCGCTATTATGCTATTAAAAGGATAACAGGGATGCTGAGGACGTAAATATCTTGTGGAGGCTGAAGAAGAGGGTTTAAAGAAGTTGTGTCAGTTAATAATGAACTTTGACCGGATAAAACTCGAAAGAGCCGATGTTGGGATAGACATGCATGGCATTTGTAGTTATATCTCTTCTGGTTAATAAAGTAATATGTAATTGTCTAGAACTTGGTATTTGCCGTTATTAACTGTTCTATTGCAGTTGCAATTTTACTTGTATGCATCGGTTTCTATGTTATATTTGCCCTCACATTTCTTTTCGTTTGTGTTTTCTTTGTTCCTTTCAGAATGTTAAGCGTTTATAATTTTACCATGCCTTTACTTTCTTAAAAGTGATATGAGAAACTCATTTTTTGTCAACGGAATGCTTCAGGTCCAAGCAACCTTGCCTTTTGAACAGAAAAAGCCAGTGAAGGAGAGCTTTATTGCAAAATTTTATCTCATCAGTGAGTTTTGATTAAGATACGGACTTAATATTTAATGCACTGTTACTGTAAAAAAGAGCTGTCTTTATTTCATATTTATTTGGAGAAAATACTATTCCATAAATTAGTTCTTTGGCTGAATGGCAACTCCCTTAACAATAAGTCCTCCCTTCCGTATCCCTGCGTCATATTCATGAATATAAATTTCTAATTCTCCAATATTTTGGGATGAAGTTGTAAATTCTCCCACAGGGATTTCTATCCATTTTCCTCTTGGCTTGGTCATCAGTTCTACCTTGCGTTCAACCTTTTGACCATTTGGAAGAGTAAGTCTGAAGTTCACAGAAATTTCCCAACCAAATGCTTGATCTCTCAACATAACAATGAGCACAACTTCATAAAAAGTTCCTGGTGAGAGGTTTGCTACATCGAATTTTCCATGCACTTCTAGCCAACAAACTTGTAAAAGCTCAGCAACATCAATGAAAACGTCACTGTAAAATTTTTTTTTTTAAAAAGTAGCAATTAGAAAAGCCAGCTTGAACTATATAATTACGAGTAGAGATTCAGATATGGATGGAAATCTTTTCTAACCTGGTTGTTGTTTCTTTTTGGTGCGACCAGTGCCAGTAACGGTAGTCTTCAGCCCAAGTGATTGATAGGTTTCTTGCAAACAGCATGAAGCAGTTTTTGTTGGACTTCTTATCCACCCAGTACTTCTGCAACAATAATGAATGGATTAGAAAAACAAACTAGGGAAATTCATTTTCAAATAATATGAATAATACCTTTCTCTTTTGGTTCAAGAAAACCCCGGCATGGAGCTGAGAAAACAACTTATCTATGGAGGAAATATCAACAGGTGAGTCGGCATCTTTCAAGATGAATTCATAGTTATGTGGAAGTTGTATTTTCTCCATGGCCCTGGATTTTGCATCAACAAGCTCAGAGTCTGCTGTTTTCTCCATTGGCTGGACATTTCTTTCCTGGTTCTGTGGCTTAATACTATTGTTTTGTAAGCTTCGGTCTATGTCTTGTGACTGCGAAGCCCCCATCTTTAGTTAAGAGTTGTCCTCCTCCCATGGAATACTCTATTTATAGCATGACAGAGTAAAACAATTAACTTGCCATCACAAGAATAATCCATTCATAAACATATATTAACAACTGACATTAAAACTCAATACTTTAAAAAAAAAAAAAAAAGAAGCAAAGAACAAGGAAAATAAAACTAAGACAAAGTATGATGGAAATGATGTATTCATACATATGAGCAACCGAAATTATTAGTCAAATTTAAAGTTAATTCAATTAATTCTGTAATAAATGATATTTAATAAATTTAGAGTTCAAATTATAATATTTATATTTTTTTTCTACCTCCAAACTATGGTCTCTTATTAAAAAATGAATTTTTTAGTCAATAAGATAGATCATGGGAATTAATTTTATGCCTGAATAGGATTATTAATAGTCAGAAAAAAAAAAAAAGGGGTGGTATTACAATGCCTTTGACATCAAAAAAGTTTTTTTATTCTATGATAAGGCATCCATCCATTATTGCAGACTATATTCCTTCAGCAAACTGGTGTGTGGACATTAAAGGAGATTACAAGCATCTTACAGTTGCTTTATGCCAAAGCAAAATAAAAAAGATCAGATGCCTTGCCCATGGTTTTGCTTTTGCAGCAGCTACAGCCCTGACGTTTCAATATGTATTTGCTAACTTTGTTGAATCGAGCCTTTGTTCTATATTTCTTCTTTTTAGTACTGTTTTACCTAAGGAAATCTAAAATGTCAAATTTTGTTCAATGTGAAAGTCGGGAAATTTATCACATTGTTAATTCATCATGTGCAAGCTTTTGAGTTGATAGAATGTGATGAAGAATTTTAATACGGGAATTCGATTTTCGTGAGAGTTATTACAGAATTTTTTCGTGAGTAATTTAATCACATTCACAATTTTTTTTTTTTTAATATTTGAGAATATAAGGAATTGAACCTTAAAATTAAGAATCTAACACAATTACAAAATTCTTATCCATAATAAATAGATAGATTTTGTTTTAATTATTTTAATTAAACAAAATCAAAAATATTTTTATTTTTGTCCACAAATGGTATAGCCCATCAAGAAGAGGAAGTTTTAGTTTGAAACCAAGAATTTTACGTTTTTTTTTAAAGATTTTTTTAATCACTAAATCAAAAAATCGAACATAAATAAAAGGTAATTAGGTATTTAAATAACAAATGTATAGATATATCAAATCAAATGCCACACCCCAAAATGGAGATGTGGCCATTATTATAATTATTCCTCTGAAAACTTACATTACTGATTAGTCCCATTTATTCGTATTACCGTCCAACGTAAACACAAACTAAAAGCATTGCACACCTAAATATACTGAAACAGCAAGAAATTAATGGTTGGATTGGTAGCAAGTTCAATTGGTTGATCCGCCGCTATCTTGTTTCACTTTACTAATTGTTTGACAATTGCTCCGTGAACTCTCAAACCACCCTTCCATTTGCCACCCCACACTTCATACAGACCAAAAAAAAGCATGGTGTCGGGCTGATTACCCGGAACGTCGACGACAAATGGGTCATCGTTGGCTGGAATATCAGTGGGTTCCTTAGGCAGCTGCATTTCCAGTTCATTTAGCCTTTTCCACTTGTACTTTCCTTTCTTCCCTACCTTAGCCATCAAGAAAACTGGAGACCCATTCCAGCCGAATGCATCCTCTTTGAAGCTCAGTTTGAAGGTGATTTGATAAGTTGTTGAAGGTTTTAGTTGGACTGAACCGGTTAATTCTAGCCACGACACCTGAACCAGCTCTGCAAATTCATCACTATCGATCCTACAATAAACAACGTTTTCCTATAAATAAAATATAATTCAAATAGCAATTAATTTATCTAACTTAAAATGAATTGATAATAAATAAAACGGTCCAACTTGAATAAAAAATAAACAATAAAAAAAAACTCAAATATAAATTCTTACGGTCTCGAAGATTGGGGAGGAACGCGCCAATAACGACTGTCATTTCCCCATACGATGTTAAATCCTCTGGGTTTCAATACAATACCATCCTGCAAAAAATAGTTTTTACTCTATATTAATTGGATTTCACAAGATAATTAGGAAAATATATATAACTTTTCTAAGCCATTTTAATATTTTCCTGATTACCAAACAACAACTCATTAATTATTTTCATGTTTGGTTCATGCATTTGTGTGTATTTATTTGTATAATTACCTGGATTTCGGATATAGCATCTTTGTCTGCATCATGATGAGGCTTGCTGGCCATTGTGAATATAATAGTGCTCTGAATTGATCAGATGAAGGGGTTATATTTTGAAGTGAAATGTGATGGTAAGCCTTGGTTTTATATATGGGAAAAAGATGGAGGGCTCAGCTCAGCTGGTGTTAGGAAGGAATTTTTTTTTTTTTTTTGTGCTGAATTCATGAATATGAACCCTCAAAGCAAAGCACACCGAAACAAGTTGGAAAACGAAAAGAATCAAGTAACTTTATTGAAAGAACCGTATATATCTTAATGGTTTTTTTTTTCTTTTAATTTTATTTCAAAATCTATTAAATTCAAGACTTTCGAAATAAAATCTCAGGTTGTAATTATTAGGATTTAGATGTTTTCTTAAAATATGTTGTATATAAATGTATATCTTAAGCTTTTGTAGAAGAGAGAATATGGTTAGTTTAGGTAAAGGGTTTGTATTGCTCAAGTAAAGGATTGATCCTTGTATTTATGCTTATATTTTATTCCATTTCGAAATTCGAAAATTTTAGTTTAATAACTTATAAAGTTACTTGTCAAGTTGTCTTTATCTTCATATTACGATTTTTTTAAAATTAATAATTCTTTTTGGGGTTAAAGTTCTTAAAAAAAAAATAAATATAGGTTACATATGGTTTCATATGTTTCATGATGCATGTGTTTAAATTTAATATGTTTTTTTTTTTTATAAGAAAAATTTAAAGGTAGATAGACCGTCGTATTTAACAGCTTAAGACAAGTGATTGCAGATCGTACATTCGAGATGATTTCAACGAATGACCATCAGTAAAACTCGAATTTAAGATTTTTTTATTAAAAAAAATAATTTTAACCGATTAAAATATATGTCCATAAGGAAAACTATATATAGTTTTCATGGGCTATTAAATTATTCTATATTCTATCCTAATTTATAATATGCCAAATTAACCTTTGAATCCAATGAACATATACAAAAAGCAAGCCCCACTACCGCTGGTTATGAAAAAAGTTGATCAAATTCGTTTCCCATGGTGGACCCAAAAGAAGAGAATAACGACACATTAACAATTCTATTTTTACTTCTTTTAGTCCTTCTTGATCGTTAACATCTTTGCATGCATGTATATCTTGTCATGTAATATTGACTCACATATGTATATATTTGTTTTTTTTACATTATTAATGTAATTTTTTAATTTTACAGATAGATTAAAAATATTAACATTTGTTTTATTTTATTTAATTTTTTAAAAATATGTATTATTTTATTAATTTTGGAATCTAAAAACTCTATTGCAATGAATTAAATAATTTCTTTTTTAGGTTTTAAATAGTGAAATTTAATTCATAGTTTTGACATTACGTCTGGATTAAAGCTGGCCGACTGCATCTATATACATGGGCAATTTGAGAACCTGATGCTGCACCTCAGCCACACCAATCACGTGATTGTATATGTTTCAAGAGTCCTTTGTCAAAATTGGTCGTAGGAAAGGAATAAAGTGGTAATATTTGAAATAACTATATATTCGGTCAAATTTTTTTGCTCAGCCAAATAAATAAAAATAAAAAGATAAGAAATCACAAAAAAAAGAAGCGATTTTTTTTTTTTTTGTGTGTGGATTGTGCTCTTCTCTAGAGAGATTCTTGATTTTGATTAAGACTGAACTACTTTAAGAATGAGAAGTACAGCAAATCATAGGTAAAGATTACAGGATATTCTCCACATTTCCAATCAGCCTATCAATTTTTCCTCCACAACAAACGGTACAAATAAGAAAATCGGTGGCCAAAGATCAGAAGATGCTCTGCACATACCACTATTGGTCCATTAGTTTTTTCCCACAGCATCAGAGGCTGCAGCCAAGTCTTCAGCTTTTACTGTTTGTGAAGCTGCAAAATAAGATTCTCAGAGTAAGGTGGGAAGATGTTATGTATACCCTTAACAAAATGAGATCCAAGTCATTACAACCACAATTTGTTTCAATGATATTATCTGGGTGGCTTAATACGTCATAACTAAATAATTCAAACTCGAACCAAGACCACAGCCAATGTAATCAAGAATGGAGCAATTTTGAAAGGACTAGACTATTTTTTTTAAGACTAAATACATAGGCTTGTCTTTGTCCTGGGACTATAAACCAATGAATATTACATCAAGAATTAGGGCCAAAATAATCAGAATCAATGCATATTTCTGTAGCACTAGGTAACATACAATGGAGAACTTACAGCTTCTGCAACAGTAAACCAATGGAAAGATCGCAAGAAGGGATCATCTTTGGAAGGAGGGCTATCATGATTCCAATATGTTAATTTATCAAATTTGGCTTTCATTTCCCAATTGTCTGACCTCCCTTCAGATACATCAAAAGCCTTCCTCTTGCCTGAGTTGTTCTTTGCAAGAACAAAGCCTGCATGAGCAACCAGAAATAGTAAAACTAGTAGAAATTCTATTGAAACACACCAACAGATTTACATAAAAGCAATCACAAGAAACAAATATGATAGAATCAAAATGATGTTAAATTCAGTAAACAGCCATCCTACAAGTCTCCTAGTTACTAGAAGCTTAGTTAAGTTAAAGACACGAAAACTCCTTGAGAAATATTGTGAACCTAGTTGAGCAACCCTAGAAGTAAAAGTAAAAATTTTGAAGGGATAAAGAAGAAGAAAACTAGAGGAAATGTCAAATATCTGTTAAATATTGTTATATTTAGAGCATGAATCCTGCTGCAAGACCAATGGAACTTCCTAAAATCCACAATTTATATCCAAACAGGTTTAGCAAAACAAGAATGTCCAGAGAGCACCCAACTAGAGCATTTGTCTCCAGGGAAGCACTACCCTTCACTCTCATTAAACAAAAAAAGAAAAGACACAAGACCATGTCCAATAAATCAACATAATGCAATACCTTGCTCATTGTTTTTCAGATGATATTTTCCCCGTAAACTGAAAAATATAAAAAACTTCCAAATCATTTTTCTTTCTTAGCCTATCCATCTCAAACTCAATGGGCTAGAAAAATTGTTATCAACAAAATGTTCATAGTTTCCAATGTCATATGCTTAGACCAACCATGTTTCCAATATACAACTTCAACTCAGAATTCAAGTCCACAGCATCAACAAAAATTTCATCTTTGCAACAAAATTAACCATACAAAATCCATTAAAAATCCATAAAAGAAAAAGAAAAGAAAACTACCAGAATATCCATTTGGAAGAGAAATAGTAGTTCCTTGAAGCTTCCTTCCTCTAAAATGGGCTTCCTCTACTGCCAACCCATCAATCTCCATCCCTACTTAACATGAAACCCCAAATGAAAAAAAAAATTCAAATCTTTACCTTTGCATAACATTTAATTACAAAAAACAACATAGGAATAAAACGGTTACCTTTGGGTTTGGGTTTGAAGTATTGAGAAACAGAGCAGGGACCATTGAATTTGATGCAGCATGGGAGGTGATGGACCTGGCTGCTTAGATTTACTTTCTCTTCTTTATCTTTCTGACTAAGGTTTATGCTTCCTATAGTTCCCCTCTCATCCTCCATATTCCCCCTTTTCAATTCAAACCCTAACCCCTAATTCTCCCAACACCTCAAAAATTGGGCTTTTCTATCACTTCTCAATCCCCACCTTCTCCGCACCCAACTTTTTTTTCCCGCGCTTTTGCGTCCCATGGACTAATTTTTCTAGCCTCTTTTGTTTTAAAAAATTAGTCAATTATTGCACCATCATTTTTCTTCCGCTATGAAAAACCATACTCCCCCCAACCCTTCATTTGTTCTTTATTGATTTTTTTATTGAATTTTAATAATTATTTTAAATAAAATTTATAAATTTTGAGTTTTAATTTTTTTAAAACATATTTTTAAAATTTTTAATTTAATATATTATTTTAAAAAATAATAACTAAAGTTGAATTCCTTCCCAAAAAAAAAATAAAAATAAAATCAAACATGACCAAATAAAATGGAGTAGATAGAGTGCAGGCACATTTTATTTTTGTTAGCGTTAAACTTAATTAAAGTAATTGAATTCTTTTTAAAATGTATAAAAAATTACAAATTCAACATCTTGACATAACTAATTAAGTGTGTGACTTTTAGCATGAATGAACAATGAAACGCCTATGGTTGACAACTTCAAATATAAAACAAACATACTAATAAAAATCAATTAGAAGAAGTATAATTTACAGTGGACTCAAGATTTGATTATATTCAGTCTCCCCACATAATTATTTTTACAAATTTGCCTCATTATTAATTATGTTTGGTCAATTTACATAAATAATAATAATAAAAAAATTTGTATAGGGTTAGTAGGAATCATTATATTTGCACAAATGTCATTGCTCATGGATCATGATGCTCTAATAATACTTTGGCAAATATCAAAGGTTAAACCCTCTTTTGACAAAACAATTGCATAAAATACAAGATACAATATGCTACTATATTTGTGAACATAAATTCTAGGATAATGTCTACTTCTAACCAATGGTGTCCGAATCTGCATGCTCAAAATCTTGATAAGTAAAGAACCATAAATAATTACAGTAGCAGACTCTGGTGTTCAGATGGGAACCGCGTTTGGACCACCGGAACTCAACTTTTAGCTCTCTTGATCAGTGAAATTAGGACTCTCAAGTTCACCCATGCTTGCAGAAGCAAATGATTCAAAGGATTCTACTGATGATAGGGAGGAAGTAGTGTCATCAGAATCTGAGACGACGTCATCATGTAGAATAATATGCTCATCATCAATTTCAGATCTGTCTGAGCCAGATGCTTCCATTAGAAGCTTGTTTATCGCGGATTTTGCAGTTTCAACAAACCATTCGTCCACAGGGAGTGCACTGACAAGACAAGGCAATTTTAGTTGCTAGAAGACGGTGAAGGTTAGAACCTGAAAATCAGACAAAATGGGAAGGATGAGTACCTTACAATGTCTCTAGCAGTGAATGTTCTGATTGCACGAGCAGTAATGGCTGATGCAATCTGGTGCACATGCCGAGATGGGTAACCCGCAAAACGAGCTATTTCAACAGTGAAGTGCATATCAAGAATCAACTGCCAAAACAAAGTTACATAAGAGTTTTACAGGACAGTGGCAGCATTATAGCCATATAAATTTCAATGCAAAATTGAGTGCATTGAGGCCTAGAACAAAACAGATTAAAAACCCTAACAGATCAACATATAGTTGCTACAGATTATTTATCATGTAGAAAACGGGCCTAAACAAATGCCATAGCTGACAATGAGTCACATCTTTGAGTTCACAGATTAGCATTCACAGTAGCAGTTGTTTCTCAATAACAGATATACTTTGCTTCCTTTTTCACTTTAATAAAATATTAAGATTCTAAATCAATCCTGCAATTCTATGGTAAAAGAGAGGCTTATATTAAGGATAAAATGATATCTTTCAAAAGTGAAAATAGTCAAAAGGTTATAGAAAAGCAAGAACAAACAAAAGGCTATCATGGAAAGAAAAACCATACCTGCTGCAATCCAAGTGGGTGAAGTGGAGTGGATTTATCCTCAAACACACCCCAGAATTCCTGCTCATTAGACAACCACATTAGAACAGTCTCTGTCAGTCTAGCAAGCAAAATTTTTTGTAGTTTCTCTTTTCCAAGTAGCACATCTCCAGCCACAGTTGCTAACTGCTGTAGCTTTGCAAATAATGCCTGCAATAATAAAACAAAAACTTAGAATTAGCAAGTGATGATTTCAGTCAAGAAAAGTGTGATATGCCCAAATTTTGCAAGGATGAATGACAGATAAGTCCTCACATGCCAATATAGAAAAACAAGTTTCTATTGACACCTCAAAGCAAAACTTATAAATACAGTTTCTTATGTGGGATCACATAACACATTGTACATGCAAACCTTTAAAACAAAAAGAAACACACACACACACACACAGAACGTTGCGTACAATTTGCATTGTAATGCACAGCAGACAAAAAAAGAGCTTGCAATTTAATTCCCATTCACACACTAAAATAGATTAACAAATTGCCTCCATTGAAGAAACCAACAGATATATGTAACAACACAAACCATACTGTTAACTTATAATCAGATAAATAAAGCATTAAAAAGTGCGGGGGTAATTCTTAAGAAATTACAGATAAGACAATATAACTAAATATTCTGGGATTAAAATTATGAAAATCTTTAGTTTACCTAAAGAGATAATTACTATCTTAATTCTAAAGATATAAAAAATATAAGCTTAAAATGGAAAGCAAAAGAAACCCTTCCCTGCATAACATCTAAAGACAATGGAAGAACTCCTTTGCAGAAAGGGAAGTTAGTGAGATTACCTGAAATGGCAAAGAAGGCAGAGTGTCCCATTGTGAATCTTCTCCATCTCCACCCAAATAAATTTGTGCATTTAATCGTGTTTTACCTTCTCTTGAATAGATGAAACTCAAAACATATTGTCTGCAAAAATGATCTCTGAGCTTGTCAAAAGAGTACTGGAGCTGGCGCCTCCAATCTTTTAACTCTGTACTTGTGCTTGCATTAGGAACAATGTTTTCATTTCCTGGTTCCTGGTTTTCACTCTTTGGACTCCAAATTTTAACCACCCTACTTGGTAACAGTTCATCCATAATTGTAAATGCTATCCCCAGAATAGCTAGTTGCTCTTCATCTGTTTCAGCTTTAAAAGGTATTGTCTCTTTCAGCTCAGTAAGACTGTCATCATCAGAAGGGCCAGGCAACGCTCTATTTAGTGCATCAATATACTTATCAAACAGCTGTGAAATTCTAGGTAATACATTTCCTCCAAAATGAGAAACAACCAGTGGCGTAAGCTGTTCCAAAATATCCTGTCAATGACATTTTAACTTCAGCATAGCAGCAAGAGAACAGTAAACTTATTGTTTCAACTTCTCAGAAACAGAAGAGCAGAATATTCTATGCTTTGTATTTATTGCATGCACAAAGAACTTTATGACTAAAACCAACAATGTTAAAATTCAAAACATTCCATGTACTAATTAGTTTTATATGCAGATAAAACCACACATAAGTGCATCCACATGCGCAAATAGACAAGTGCATGTGCACCTATGTGTAGCAATGCAAGGGAGTATGTTTATGTGATGCAAATTCAATCAACTTACATTAATTAGGAACCACTTCTGGAGCCATGCAACTGTAGAGCAATGCAGGCCCTCCTTTAGAATTCAGATGGAGTCTACCCAATAGACTCAGACTAAGTGACAACCAAAACCAAAACCACATAAACATTAAATTATCCTAGAACTATTGAAAATATTTTGTTCCTCATTTTCATATATACTAACATATAGAAACACACAGGAATATTTCATGATGTAGCATCAATGCTAATTGATTGTACGGAACCTGTGTGTGCATATATGTTGCAGCAACTTTTTGAGTTTTTTAATATAAATTCCATCTGCCAATAAAAGACTGAGGGAATAAGGATAACACTTAAAAATTAATTAATTAAACACAATCAATACACACAAAAGATAGGCAGGCAAACACGAGTGCAAAGATTAAGCAGGGCACCTTGCACGTATATGTAAATTAATTCTAGAATTTCACCTTGAGATATGTCTCTTGTACTTATCATACTCCATTTTGGCTGAGCCACGTTTACAAACACTTCCTCAATGTGATTTAACTAGATAAAAAGTAGTAGAGAACTACAGATTACTTCTTCAAACCCTAAATTCAATCATATTCTACAAAATCATTTCCCTATTTTTCAGCCTCTATCTCTAGAAAAGTATCATTTTTAGGTCACAAAGGGTGCTTATGGTGATGGAGATGGAAAGACACAAAACAAATAACATTTTAAACATGGAAAGAAGACCAACTTACGGCAATAATATACAAAAATTTCATTCCACTATCTACTAGCACACTATCTGAAAAAGTTGCGAAAGCCAATAAAGCAGACACAAAGTGAGGTCTCAAAGCCAAGTTCTCATAAACTTTCATTGGGTCAAAAACAGCCTTTCTAGCCCTCCTAAAATTCAACTCCAGCACTTCCTCAATATATGGACGCAGGAGCACCAGAAGCAACTTTGATAGTTTCAACCCTTGTGATTCCAGCATTAAGCAGTAGTTAAGGCTATCATGACCACAAATGCTAGCTGCACGTAATGCAGAAACTGTTTCTGAAGATGGTGCATTATCCTTTACCAAACGTACAAAAAATTCAATTTCCCATTCTGCCCACTGAACAACTCTATTCGTATAGACTGGATTGTCACCAAAAGTCAAACCAGATTCTCTTGTTGTCAATGAGATCATAGAAAAGACAAGCCTAGACAGTGTGGCAGGAAATGTCTTCGGGCAGACAGAACATGAAGGAAGAAAAACCTCAATTTTCTTTTGCAGACGGGAACCACAGGATTTTAAAAGTAATTGATGCGCTGAAGGACCTTTCCCAAGCTTAATCAAACCAGATAATGCCTTCTTTAGGTCATTAGCACCAACTGCAGGCTGTTCAGCAATCTCAGTAAGCTGATCCTCAAGCATTGCCTTCCTTTCTAGAAAAGAAGACTTATACGAGGATGCTTCAGTTGAAGAATCTCCAGAACCTTTTAGCTCAGGGAAGTTTCTCTCTTCAGCCTCTAAAGCCTCCAATGCTTCTTCAACTTTATGTTCAGCCAAAAGAACATCAATTTTCTCCAGGAATGTTTTTTTGTGGTCATCTATTTCATTTGGCAAGGGATCTTGAACTTCATCAACTTCAGGGTCTGGCGGTGTGGCATTAATATCAGCATTTGCCCGGTTCCACTTTTAAAACTTTCTTATTAATAAAATAGAATGATTTAGTGCTAGCATATAAATTTTATGTATTACCATTGGAACTAAATGATTAAGAAGATAAATTATTAGTATTCTTATGTTGCCACTAGCCGTCTTAGCTCAGCCGGTAGAGCGCGTGGCTTTTAACCACGTGGTCGTGGGTTCGATTCCCACAGACGGCGTTTGATTTTCTCATATTTGCTTTTTCCTTTAAATTAACGTTGTTTTAATTTTATTCCCGACATTTTTGCGTCCAACGAAAGAGGAGAAGGATAATGCTGATGATCCGGTGCTACGCATCAGCACCTTATCTCTGTGCACGCCACCATCCCAACCCCCCCTTTACCTTCACCGAAAAACTCCTTCATCATCACTTCTTCCCTGCAACCTCTCCTCACCTCGACAGTTAGTACAAGTAGAACATTATTAGCGTCTATAGCAACCTCCACTTTTTGTACATTAATCTTATCACTCTATGCTTCTGCTCCTTCAAAATCCGCCATTAACACCAATTTCTTCGACCTCCCTAACTCGATGGTGTCAAGGCCTTAGACCTCCGTACCGGCACAGGTGCAACTCCCTCGATGGTGACATGTGCTCTTTCTTAATAGAGCTCAATTTCAGAAACTGAAGCTGAAAAGAAAAAAAGAAAAAAAAGAACATAGAAGGAAGAAGCAGAAGAAGAAGGAACAGAGAAAATCGTTACAGTATATTTGACCTCACTCTCCTTTTGTGCTAATAGCCAACCAGCTACAAATCCTCTCGGATTACAGCACAGTCACACTCTTCTTCTGGATCACAACAATGAAATAAAAGATAATTTATCATAAATATAAACGTCCAATATGTCTAAAACCTCCTTCTGCCCTAATCCACCATTAGGCACGTGTTGCTATATATTACTATATTTTTTTATCAGGTCGTTGCCACTTGCCAATGTTTACTTGTCTTCTGTTCTGCTCTAGTTCTTTGACAGACAGAGACCGTTACCACCATTTTCAATCCAACCCGTCTTGTGAAGGGAGAAGCCTCAACATTAAGTACCGTAATATTTGATATTGAGTTGATCAGCCCAAGGCATTAGAAAACTCAACTTCAATTTCATTGCACTGCAAGATTAACTCCTAAGGCATTCAGATTCTTGTTACCTCTAGCTGCGCAAAGCAGCTCGTATAATTTTGGAAACCCAAATTATATCCCTCTCTGATGTGACATTTTTTCCTTAGTTATCCAAACATAGATTCAGTTCAGGCAGCTGTGTTTTATTGCAAATGTCCAGCATGGACATGATTACTGGAAAATACAGGTATTTCATTTCCTCTGTTTCTTGAACCCTAATGAGAAAGAATCAGTGAATCGCTTTAGAGGACTAGCGAGACAAAGATTCTGTATTCTGATTATATATATATATTCATTTGAACATGAGATTTCTTGTCATATATTCCAGATTATGAGAGGTAAAAATTTTTTTAACTCAGTGGTCTGAGATATTGACATTGACGTTTTTCTGAACTGATCATTTTTTTTTGTTGACTTGGGTTCCTTTTTCTCCTTCCATCTTATATCATTGATTTGCGCATAAGAATTGGGATTAAGGATACCCTTGCATCATTTCAGACTGGAAGTAACTTGCTCAATATGGACACCTAGGCAAGTTATCAAGGGGAAAACCAGTTTCATGACTTAAACTTAGAAATGGTGAGTTTAAATACTACACAATCACACAAGAGGAAAACAATACCCAAAAAAAAAGGAAAAACATAAATGCAGCATGATTTAAAATTTTAGCATAAGTCATGTATATAAGTTTGGATAAAACAAAAAAAAAAGTGTTTTGTGCTTTGTGTGTCCATACAAATTATAGCACAACAATTTTCGTATTTTACGTGTTAGTTGTGAAATAGTAAACACAAATTCACCAATTGTCTGGTCTACTTAAGCTATTTCCAACACTCTAGATCTGTTTTCTGATCATGTTTTTTATCAGTAACATGCATAACAAATCTCAAGATATTGCATATTTCACCCCAATCAATGTTTAACTTTGAAAAGTTAAAAATGCAGCCATGTGCAAAATCAAACTAAAACGATGCCACTTCTCATTTCTTAAAAGGCTATTTTGCTGTTTATTACTTTTTCATCCATTTCCAAGGTAAAATATCTAACTACAAAGAAATTTGCACCACTGTTTCTTCTTTTTCTAGATGACTTCATAAAACTGCGCCTAACCTGCTAAATCGAGAGTGACCAGCCTATTACTCTATTCTTGTTATAAGTTCAAAGCAGATAAACTACCAGTCAGCAGATTCTTATCATCGCTACTGGAATATCAAACTAAGCACTTTGCAATATTCATTCCCCAATAACACAGTTCCCAACCACACACACACATTAGTGTTAGATTCTGATTCTTATATCAGACTCTATGGTCTTTGGATATTTAGGTACATAAGTGTAGTGATTTTGGTTCTGTTTCTTCTTTACAACTTCTCTTAAGCTTGTCCTTAGATGGGGGCTGAATAATGTTCTTACGGTTTGGGTTGCTTTCTTGAATGACATTGCATTCATTCCACACATCAAAAATTAAGAGAAACCCTCGTTAGGTGCAGATCTAAGAGCCGAAATGTCAATAACAATGCAGCCTATATGAACACATATATTAAATTGGCTATGGCCTATAAATTTTCCATAGAACTGTAATTGTATTGCATATTTGAAGTTTATTCTTAAAAGTAGAAAAATAGAGTTTGTGCACACCCCCAACTTTATTGAATAAAATGCAAGCCTTGACACATTAAGATGCATGCATGGAACCCTTAAAAGTGATATATCATAACCATCATAACTTGTCCCTGACCATATAAATGAGTAGAAATTTACATCAATTCTACTTTATAATAATTTGGCTAAATGATAATTTATTTATACAATTTTAACTAATTGATTGTAATGATCTATTTTAACATGGTTATTTCAGCCTTTGGAATCTTTCTTGCTTTACCATACTCCTAGTTCCTAGGTTATGCTTCTTGCCCAATTTTATCATTAATTGCATCAATTAATAAAGGAAATAAAGTCACATATGATCTCTAAATTATAATGAAATATTTAATTTGATACATAAATTTAAAAATTTTTTAAGGTAACACTTAAAATATGAATTTATTAATTAATGTGATATTTGGATGATGTATTTGAATGATTATTTATCTTTCATGTATTATCATTTAAAACTAACCATGTTGGAGATAAATTTTATATTAGTCAATATATAAATTTCATATTAATCAATATATTTATAGTTCATATACCATATTAAAAATTTTTAAATTTCAAATATCATTTTAAACATTTTGTTATAATTTAGAGGGTATTCGTTTAATAAAACTGGATCCTATAAGTCTCCTTTGGGCTAAGCATATAACATAAAAAACTGCCTCTTCATATCTACAATTTATAGAGCTCTGGTTTTTTTGTACATTTTTGCTACATGGGCGTCATTTTGGACAGGTTCGTCATTGTTTCAGCAATGTATCAGATATTAGTAACCCACTTATTCTCACCAAGCATCTGCTTTGCAAATAAACTTTCTACTGTTTTTGTTTTTGGAGATTCTCTGGTCGACGTAGGCAACAACTTCTACATTAACACAGTTGCAAAGCCAACGTAGCCAAATGGCATTGATTTCGCCAAAGGAAGTCCATCCGGACGATATACAAATGCTAGAACAGTTGTTGACATTATAGGCAAGTTTTCCTGTTCTTATTACTACTACTTAACCATGATATTGGAAGAGTTTAGCTATTATTTTCTTAAAAATTGTGTTTCGGCAGAAGAGGAATTGGGTTTTAAAAATTACACTCCTCCTTACTTGAACCCCAAAACTGCTGGAGATGTGATTTTGAAGGGTGTCAACTATGCTTCTTCTGGATCAGGAATTTTTAGTTCCACTGGATCAATCTTTGTAAGATGTCTTTCATATTCTATTTATTGGTAAAGGATTTCATTTCCCATTTTATATTGTGATTACTGGCATGATCAACAACCTTAATTTTACCAAGTTTGTTGAATGGAAATCTATGCATTATTATCTTGTAGGGTGATCATATATGCATGGATGCACAAATCGATAACTTCGCAAATACTCGGCAAGAAATCATCTCAAGAATAAGTGTAGCAGCAGCTCAAAAACTGCTTAGACGAGCACTCTACTTCATTATGATAGGCGAAAATGATATCATCGCAAAGGCTGATAACTCCTCATCTCATGATGTTGGTGTTAATTATTTGGATAATTTGATTTCCAAATTCAGATCCCAACTCACAGTAAAGTTTTCTTCCAGCTAACCCTCATTTCTACTAGAACATTTTTGTTATATAACTAAAATCTAATTGCGAAAAACTCGATTCGTTCTTGTTGACTCTTTACAAACTAGATGCCAGAAAGTTTGCAGTGGCAAATGTCCCTCCCATCGGGTGCACTCCTTATCTGAGGGATAAATATTCTACAGATGATTGTGTTGCACGTGCGAATGAACTAGCCAAGTTATATAACCGCAGGCTGAAGATATTGCTCCCAAAGCTTGCAAAAATTCTTGCAGGATCAACATTTGTTTATCTGGATACTTACGCAGCACTAGACAATATCTTACAAAACTATAAATCATATGGTGATATTGATACATTTTCACTCTGATGCATTTGCCTTGAATTTGCATTTTTCTGATCTTTTTTTTTTTTTCAGGATTTGAGAATGCAGATTCTGCTTGTTGTCGGGTGATTGGGAAGCATGGTGGTGAAGTCCCTTGTGTGTTTCTTGCTCGAGTTTGTGATGACAGAACCAAGTATGTGTTTTGGGATGCATTTCATCCAACAGAATCTGTTAATTTGATTGCAGCAAAGTATGCATTGGAAACTATGTTTCACCAATGAACATCCGAGGGCTTGCTAATTCTTAAGCCACCCATTGAAGTTAACGTACTGAAAAAAAATGCGAACAAAATTTTGTTGGCATCCATAAATTGAATAATAAAGATCGTTGTATGTTATATTTAACTTATCAAAATCTAATTCATGGATTATTGCTTTTCTCTCTTGCCCTTAATCCACTGGAGCAGTCTTTTTAAGATTATTTCTTTTCTCTCTTTTATTTATCTGTAAAGAATTTTATTTTCCATTAATCAAGCTAATTTGATTACACTATACAACAAGAGTAGGAAAGATTTAGATGAATTTTTAAGTGAATTTTTTAAAGTTTTTAACAAAAAATCATTTAATAAAAGTTAAATTCAAAATCAAAACAGATAAAAGTAAAAAATATTATTATAAATCAAATATACAAAGTTTTTAAATTAATAAATTTTGATATATTTTTTAGATATGCATTTTAAGTAAAAATTTTGATGGAATTTCTAGGATTAAATAAATATAGATTAAATTAAAATTTTAATAATATTTTAATATTTTTACATATTATTAATTTTTACATTAAATTCTATCAATTCATTAATTTATATTTTTATTTAAGTTTTTATTAAATCAATTTTTAAAAACAACATCACAAACTTAAAGGTCATCTAAGTTTTGTTCTTATGCAAGTTAGGAAAAATAACTAATTTTCTTTAGAAAAAGATAAAATTTTGGAAACATTTATTGTGACTCATGAGATGTACAACAAATGAGTAACATGAGAGATATAAAAAAAAAATTCTGCTAAATGGTTTAAAATCTGAAAACAGGGGCAAAAATGAATCTTTTCCTCATTGTTTTCCAATTTCTAGCAAGCTTTTTAACAAAAAATTCAAATGAGAAACAAATGTTCCTGCAAATTTATTTATTTTACAATCTTTAAAAATGTCCATGAATTCTCTACTATTACGCATGGATCCATGTTTGTGTACATCCCAAGTTCATTGGGACCTTCCAGCCATCAAGTGTTCCACACAGAAATCATCAAAATCATCATCTGGGTTTCCCGAGTTCAATATCCTTGTAATTGGACTATAATCAAATCACCGTACCTAAATATTGGTATTGGTTTCCAATCTTAATTTAGAAGATTAAAGAATCTTCATCATGAAGATGATCTAATCAGCTCTTTGGTTAAACAATTTAAATTCAAAGAAAAAAAAAAGGGTTTAGTATACCTGATTGTGAAATAGGTGAAATGTTAGAAATCATTTTACATAACACTTCACTTTAAATGACAGCTATATTTCTTTGGCTTTTGCTACCAACATAATAATTCCTTTGCTTTTATTTTCAATTTTGTTAATTGATAATTTACAATATTTTCAAATTTAATTGAAAATAACAGTCATGTAATTCGATATAAAATATAAAATATTTATTTTTAATAATTAAAATTTAAAATTCAATTTTTGTTAATCTCAACAACAACAACAACAAAATTGTAAGCAAAGTGTTAATCATCAATCATATAAAGTTAAAATATTTATAATCATTGGATTAAAAAAAAAAAAGCAAACCATTATTACTACTCTAAGCCTTTCAACTGTTGCCTTCTGCCTTAAATTTTAAACCTCTTTAAACCCATTTTACTTTTTCCTATTTGATATCGAAAAAGCAAAAAAACAAAAAAGAAGCCCAACAAAGGGGTGATTCCGAAGACAAATATAGGGAAAGCATTAGAAAGAGAAAGGGCCTCTCAAATCCCAGATTTCTCTTTGCTTTCTCTTTTAAACCCAAAATTCCATATTAAAAAATTCTAGGAAAATGGTGCACAAACCATTGATCTATGCATTTGTATCTCGTGGGGAAGTTATATTAGCAGAGTACACTGAATTCAGTGGGAATTTCAATTCCATAGCTTTTCAATGCCTCCAAAAGCTTCCTTCTTCCAATAACAAGTTCACTTACAACTGTGATGGCCACACCTTCAATTACCTTGTTGACAATGGCTACAGTTAAGTTCTCCTTCTTCTTGAAATTTAAATTGTGCGTTCTTTGATTTTAAAGTTTGTGTCTTTGGCAGCAAAATGAAAGAGAATAAATTTTGGGGCTTTATTCTTTTTGTTCCCTTTAGAGTATAATTTGATCGTTGGAAAACAAATGGACTTTGAGATCTAAAGGGAAAGTTTGGATTTGGGTTTTTCCCATTGGATTATTTTTGAGAAAATTGCTTGTTAGAAATGGAAAAAATAGAAACTTTGTGTTTGTCGCTGTTGTTTTTTAGGTTAATTAAGTTTGTCTCTGGTTATTCTGCATTATAGTATTGGAAATTACTCAACTTGATTCGTCGTAAACGAGGGTTTTTATGGAAATCTTGTGGTTTATTCTTTTTAACATAAAATTTTACTGTGTGGTTTTCTGGGTTTTGGCAATATGCTGGTTGTTGAAGACCCCTGTGCAAGCGTGTTGTGTCTTGTGTGGTTTGGTTTTTTGATGTTGTGAGTTTCTTCTGAAGATGATTGGAATACATATTGTCTTTGTAATGTTATGAACTGACTGGGACTGAAAATATATTGATACACTTATCAGTTATCACCCCGTAATCCACATTCTACAGAGAAAGTATATTATTAAGAAATCTATTTAAGAATCAGCTAAATTTTATTGTTTATGCATTTTGCTTCAATGAGGTCTAATTGACTCCGAGAATTGTTGAAAGAACCTGTTAATGTGTTATTATTTGCATTCTCCTTGACAGGTCTTTTTTTTCTATGATGTCGATAGATTGGCTGACTTTTCAATGTTGCAGCATATTGTGTTGTTGCAGATGAGTCAGTAGGAAGGCAATTACCTATTGCTTTTTTGGAGCGTATCAAGGATGATTTTGTGTCAAAATATGGTAGTGGAAAGGCTGCTACAGCTCCTGCCAACAGTCTGAATTTTGGGTATCTACCTCTGACTAAAATCATGGAAATACTTAATGGAGAGATCTTTTCTTATATTGAAGCATATATTACATGCTTTTAATTGCAGACCAAAAATAAAAGAACATATGCAGTACTGCGTTGAGCATCCTGAAGAAATAAGCAAGCTTGCAAAGGTTAAAGCTCAAGTTTCAGAAGTCAAAGGTGTTATGATGGAGAACATTGAAAAGGTAGATGTGCCATTAGATGCACTATGGTTATGCTCCTGTTGTTATCTCAGCTTTTTCTAAATGGAGGGAATAACACTAGAGTAGATGATGTAGGCTGGTGCTCCACCTTTATATAGGTTTACCTTTCATTGACTCTTAAGCCGATCTTTTGACTACATAATCATAATGACAGATGGCTTTAATCTCATTACTACTATGATATTCCTTTACTTTCAATAGAACTTCCTCTTTTAAAGCTCAAGGGTCTATGAAATTTTTGTGGAATCGAATTTTTCAAGTTCTTTCAACTATTTGCTAATTTTGCCAAATGTCACTACGTGCCCTGTAACACTGTGGAACCATCCGTCTAAGTTTTTCAAATTTCATATTTTCTGGTATGCTTTTGGTTAATGTTGCCATCCTGCATTACTTCAGGCAAATTGCAGTTTTCCCATATTAAATTATGATAACATTTTTGTTAATCAACCAACTTACCAGAAACATGCTTTTGGAATTTTTTACTGAATTTTCTTTCTACAGGTGTTAGATAGAGGGGAGAAGATAGAACTGCTAGTGGATAAGACTGAGAATCTTCATCAACAGGTCAGTTACTCTCTCTGTCTGTCTCTTTATCTCTCTTTCATGCATCAATCGTATATCCACGCAAATTTAAACATGTAATAACTTCAACTAGATTTGTTATTTCTATTGAATATCATATGAGAGTGAGATTTGGCTTGGAGTACTCTGTAACATTATGAATTATCAGCAAGGGGAGTTTTATTTTGCCAAAGAACAATGTAAGGAGGAATGATGGAAATGCAAGAAAAGAGACATTCTTTTTAGCAGCATTAGATGTTAGTTGAGTATGTTAGAGAGCTGCAGAAGAATCATGCAAGGAGACATAATTTTAACCTGTCTCCAATGGAGGTACACAATTCAATGTTATGACTTTCTGAAATGATTTATTTGCAGGCTCAAGACTTTCGAAGCACTGGAACGAAAATACGAAGAAAAATGTGGCTACAAAACATGAAGATCAAGCTGATTGTTCTAGGAATACTGATTGCCTTGATCCTCATCATTGTCCTCTCTGTTTGCCATGGTTTCAACTGTGGAAAATGAGCACTGTTCTTGAATAGGGTTATTAGTTTTCACCAGAGCTCTTGTGATAATATTGTGAGGAAAAGATCAAAATATATATAATGACTTCTATGTCATAAAAGATTAGCAATCACTAGATGTTTGGTGCAAGTTATTTTTGAATGTGAACAAATCCTATAAGTTTTTATTGCGTTACATGGATATGCTTTTTGCTAGATCACATCGGTTGTTTACCCTCAAGCTTCACAGTAGGCAAAATTTTGCTTTCTACAGGAACTTGGTTGCTGTTCTATTTTTAGCTCAATCTTGATAGGAACGATTCTTTAGTCCCATACTCCCATTAGTTCTTAGCTTGAAGTTTGGCACCAGTTAACAGGATCTGCAATTGCTTTTGGAGAATTAGGACTCAGATCATACAATTCTTTTGGATATTTGACTTTAGAGTAGAGAATTAATGGGTCTATAAGTTTGTAGGCACAACACTATATGCAACAATGGAAGAAGATTGGATGTTGAATGATGTAAAAAGGGTCGTTAGATTTGAAACTGGATTGAAGATCATGTAATATAATAAAATAAATGTTCTTAATGAGTCCCATAGCTAGCAAAATGGTGGCCCAGTGGATGCCACAGGTTTTTAAACACTTACACAATCGACTAAAGGAGTTCCTGGGTTCAACTCTCAGTGCGAACAAAAAATATTGCCAGAATAAAACGCTTGGCTGGCAGTGCTAAATATGCTCAATGTCCTAACTCTTTTCCAGTTTCCGATCTCTTGAAACAAAGAAAATCTAGAGAAACTATAGCTTTCTCCTTTTATACACACGATTCTGATTCTCCTTGGATTTGATAGGTTTCTTATACTCAGCTTCTGGCTCTTCATCTTTAGTTTGACTAAACAAATTATTGCCACTATAACCATTCAATTGCACTCTCTTCCCTCCACCATTAATCCTGAACTTCACTCTTGCTCTCTCCTTTGCCAATTTACCAGGATTTCTCTTCTCTTCAAAACCATCACTTTGACATCCCAAAACCGAGCTAGAATTCTCCCATAATTCTTCTCCATTAACTCTTTTATTGCATTTTTCATTACTAACTACATCAGGAAACGAAGGTAACCATTCTGGGATATGAGCACCTCTCTGCAAATTCCCAGTAGATGCTTTTACTTTTTCCATTTCTCTTTCTTTTGCTCTCTCAATGGGCTTGGCGAAAGGTATTTCAGCCGTGGAGCTGACAAAAGCTGACAGATCTTCCAACACACTAGACTTCAACAAGCAATTGTTGTCATAGAGAGTGGATGCACCCCTGAAACCTACCTGGGACATGTCGTGGAGGGCATTGGTAAGGTCTAAGAGATTGGATTGAGTACGGTTGGCAGCATTGGAGAATGATACAGACGACTTGGCCAGGGCTTCCAGGTACTTGGTCGCTACCAGGGTCAGGGTTTCCAGCGCTAAGATCTGGCTACGCTTAAATCCAACTGATTTGCAGATCTGAGAGACTGCTATTTTGGTTATATTGAACGAGAATTCCTCTACATTTGTTGCTTCCTGTTGGGTATTTGATTGTTTTTTAGATTTTGATTTTTTCATGATCAAGAAAGTAAGAAGTGGAAAATTTGCTAAAACCCTAATTTCCTGGTCAGGTTCTAATCCAGAGAAGAAGGTAGAGGTGAAAATTTTGCCAGAATCCTAATTTTGTGGTTTTAAATTGGTTTATGGGTGTCAAGGACGAGGTGGAAAATTTGCTAAAACCCTAATTTCTTTTTAGGGTATGAAAGTAATTTGGCCAATAAATATTAATCAAATATGAATATTAATTTCTGGTTTGAGATTATTTCATTATAGCGTATGAAAGTAATTTGGCTAATAAATACTAATTAAATATGAATATTAAGTTTTGGTTTGAGATTAGTTTTGTACTCGTTACCTGCAAGGGTCCAAAGGAGCAAAGAAATTGGGCCATGCCAATGAACCCAAGGAATTTCAATGCAAAACACTTGCAGCTTAAACAATTAAAAATATATATAACTTTTTTTTCTTTTTATTACATGAAACATATTTTCTTTTTGTGTTTATGCCTCCTATGTACCCCCCCCCCCGGAAAAAAAAAAACGAATTTTTTTGCTATAGCTAACTAGTAACCACAAGATTATATGTATCATTTGAAATGAACACTTGATATTCTTCTTGAAACCAAAATATGTTAAGAATTTATTCTTTGGTTATCCGTTTAGACTTTGGAGAGAACCATTTTAGAGCATCCCCAATCCATGATTATAGTATTTTAGTAGTTGATTTCCGCATAAACACTTCGAACCTTCATCATCTTTGCTCCTTGTCTTCTACAAATGTGTTATACAAAAGGTTTTTCTCTGTTAATTGTTGGAGACATTTATCAGTAATGTTGATGTCCAAATTTGTTTAACATAAAAAGATATTATATATATTTTTTGAAGGGTAAACATAAAAAATATTAACGTGAAAAATAATAATTTAATCCTTGGTAAGGGATCTTATCTCCTCTTTAATTCGATGCTCCATTCTTACCTTTTCATGCTCTATATTGGTACTGATCAAATAATCAGAGGCTTTTTTTATTATTTTAAGTAATATGTTTTTCCAACCAATTTGTAATTATTATTCGACAGAAGATTGTTTATACATCACAAATCATGGAAGTTCAACTTCAGAAGAAACGTTGTGAATTAGCTAATGATAAAGGCCACAGTAATGAACAACAACACTACATCTTTTTAATTCTTTCTTGAAGCATTTGGCATTGCAGTCCAAGCTTTGTGATTACATTGACATTGCACCAAAAAAGCTTGCTTCAATCATTAATTCGACTAATATTCGGAGCCTGCTAGCTACTAACGTGCTGGGATTGAATGTCTTGAGCTGAGCTTAGAGTGCTAGAACCTCGTTACCATGAGATTAATATCCTTCAAAACTGAAATCCAAGCACATTCAAAGAATTGAACTCAACAAGCAGCTGGTTTCCTTGAAATACAAGTGACTCGCCTTTGGTCATCCAATGCAATTTTACGTTTACCACCCATCACTGTTATGTTTGCTACTACATCTTTTTTCCAATGTCTTGCTCCGCAACTAAGATTTGGTACAACTTTTGTTTTTGGATCTAACTTTAACAAATGATGAAGATTTTGAAGGCCAGTTAGATAGCCATCACCCTTGAGGCCTGATTCTGAACCCGAGATGGGCTTGTATTCTGTCTTGGAATTGCTTGTCAGATACAGTGTGCTGGGCTTTAATTATCCCCGTCGTATGGCTTGATTTTGTCATTTTCAGGTACAATGTTTTTTTCACTCTTGTCAATGCCTTCGATAAGTAATCAGTGGACAGTCTCATTTTGATTTCCATTCTTAGATAATTAAGAAAGGTGAAAAAGGGTATCTCAAAAACAGTTTTTATAAGTGTTACAACTTACAAGACAAACACTTTATACTCGGTCCTAATTTCAAACTTGAGCATTTTTATTCAATTTCATTAGAGGGATAAGATTTGAATTTGGAAGATCTCTTTGTTAAAGCTAAAGTCTATTGCCTCCACATCAGAAAGGGGAAAAATTAAATCTTGTCAATTTATTGTAGCCTGGTAAAATATAAATTCTTTACCTTTAATCATATCTGATTCCTTATCAGCTCATAGTCAATGAGCATGGAAAGTCGACAAAGAAAATGCAAATTTCAATGGGTTATTTGAATCTGTCAGCTTTGCTGATCAATGCAGACCAAAAGAAAAAAATGGTTCCCCAAAATTAAATATGAAAAATCCATCTTAGACCGGCATTGCATCGAGATAAGCGGATAAAATGGTCTACAACTACCCGCAATGAAGAGGGTTTACCAGTGCAAGGAAAGAAATTTGCATTATTAGGTATCAGCCACCAATATTACAGATAAAATAAGATTTTTTTTTCTTCTGTATCAGGTTTCAGGAAAATGATTGTTGACTTGACCATGATTTTCTTTCCCATGGATCCACTGGCAGCTTGACTTGTCCTGAATTTCTTAATTACTACTGTACTGTTACCATGTGTGGGGTCGAAGGCCAAACCAGATTAAAGTCTTATATGCCATAACTGATTAACTTTTGGCTTCATAACTCAAATATTAATTGCGTGTTAGTTGTGCCTATGATTTCTTTCACCGTCTTTCTTTGATTCTTTGGTCAGGTGTCATAAACCACATTCAATTTAGATCCTTCTCTGTCAGGCAAAGTCTTTAAACTTGTCATAATCAGTACAATTGCTGGTCTACACCTTCGTTTTTTTTTTTTTTTTTCATTTTTATTGTCAGATCCAAATCCCACCAAATCCATCTACCTTCAGAATCCCTCCATAAAATTCTTTCTCTATCAAGGGACCCATCTTATATGAACCAGAAAATGTATCTAAAAAAAAAAAAAAAGCTAAATCATCCTTGGTTGGTTTCTGCCCCATGCCATATTTAACACAATTACAAAAACTTTTACATTATCTCAGGAATCAGGTCCAGCTGTAAATAATTTTGTCTCCCCACCTCCCTTTTCTTTTGAAAAATTTCTTCATAAAACAAACTAGTTCAAAAATTCGATGATAGGACATGTGCTTATCCTCTCTGTCCAATTCATAAATTTTGCACAATCAACTGCCCTAGTCTCTGCTCTGCTTTCCTACCGATGCTCGGATATGGATCAAACACTATGTTTTAGAAGGAAAAAAAAAAGTGGACCAAGAAAATGATTAGAATCTCTCTTGTTTATCTTTTAACTCCCTACATAAAAAGCCCAATTTCAGAAAAAAAAAAAAAATATCTGCCTTTGCATGTGGGTAACTAATCATAAATAAAGACAAATTTTAAGTTATCTGTCTTGCTTTCTATGCTATAAATATTCTTTAACATAATGATATTCCCACCCACAAAAAGAAACAAACCTTGAATTCTAGCTTCAAAATTTATTAAACCACCACTTTTTCTTTGTTTCAACTTCTAATAATTATTTCTATATGTATCTATCTATGAAATCAATCAATCAATTAATTAATCAATTAATTATCCATAGTTTGTGATTAGTCCTAACTTGGTATCAGCAAACTCTTGTGGACAGCACGTTTTGTAGTTTCCCTTGCTGATTTGATAATTAATCAGTATTAATTAAAGATTAGAGACATTTTCAAAAGAACTTTGGCCTTTGGGGGGTCTTTGGACGGTTCTTTTCACAAAGGACATGTTGCACACGCAAGAGTATATGAAATTTAGCCCGCCAAGACTCAAACTTGCCACCGGATTCTTACAATAATTAAAGTGAAAATAAAAACAGATAGTTGTCAAAAAAAAAAAAAAGTAAAGGACCCACATTACATTACATGAATTAAGATAAAAATTGATATACCTCTAATCCTACATGATTTCTTGAGAAGAGATCCATTCTTGTTATCATCCATCCTAATCAAGATCTCAAACAGGGTAGGGTTTGTTTAGATTATTCACATTTTACACTTATTTTCCTATTTTCTCTCTTTGTTTATTTTTCTTATCCGAGGAGATCATGTGGATTGTTGGCATTCTTTTTTCTAATCACAAGAAAAAAAAAAAAAAAAATTATGGTGATTTGAGCATCAAAGCATTAAAAATTTAAGCTAGTTAGGGTATTTCATTTTAATATAAGTACTAATCAAACACTACTTGCTCATTGAAATCACAATAGTTTTTATGCAAATTTATAAACCGTGGACAAGGGGAAACATTGAAGAAAAAGACATTATATATATATATTTATATATATATTTCATTTTTTAAAAATTTTTTGGTTTTTTATTTACAAAAAGTTCAAATAGAAAATAATATCGATAGAGCGGCAAGTGGTGCAATATGTAACAAGCCACTTGTTGAATGGTGCATGAGAGTTGAGTTGATTCTTTGTCACATACATATATTTTTATCTAAGTTTGGATGACATTAGTTGTCCAATGTCACCTTCTTGAATCTTGCATAAAAACCATACAAAGATGATGGCCAAAAAGTACCCATTCATTGGTAAAGCTTTAATGATCGAATTTCAATTCTTTGTTTTCCACCATTTGTGGTCCTCCAAAAAAAAGTGTTTTTTTTTTTTGGGGGGAGGGGGGGGGGGAGAGAGAATAGAAAACAATGGAAATTGAAGAATAACTTCACAAAAATATAATGGAATACTCTTTGGTTTGATTACTTTGGCATATCTTTTGAACCTGTCTTTTCTTCTAAAAACCAACAAAATTGGGAATAGCTTGACTCCCATCCCAAGTTTCTCTGCATTCACATTTGGCATTTGATTATTAGGCTTGGTGGGCTTATGTTTAACTACTTTCACACAAAGAAAAAGAAAAAAAAAATGGCAGTATTGCTTTCATATTATAAAAAAATACTTACGAATTTATTATATATATTACTTTCAAACCATTTTGAATAGTCAGACTTTTCAATTGTATGATAAAATAACATTAATCTAAAGATAAATTAAAGAAGGTTAGGATCATAGTATGCCTTGTGTCAAGTTTGTTAAATCTTGAAGTGACAAAACAAAAAATTTAATTCAATTAATTTATGTATTTATTATTAAAAAATGATATTCAGCCTATAATACCTTTTTCAATCTCTAAATTGTGATTTTCTTTGTAAAAAAAATTTGAACTGACCTAAATCCAAACGATTTTTTTTTTTTATTTGTATTTCATTTTGATGAAAGATTATGAAATATGTTTATTTAATCGATTTGCATCAGTCATGGGCTTACAAGATGATGATTCTAGTGATATTCAACTTTAATTAATTAATTACTCTAATGAGTTGTTGCAAAATTAACTAATTAAGTGCACCAATTAAAAAAACTTCGTTTGTCTTTGCTATGTTATATATTAATAATTATCATATTTTATGTGATATATGTAAAATCACTTGGTTAAAAAAAAAGTTCTTAGGCTGTAATTAATTAGTACACCATCAGCCACATTATTCA